TTCAACAAACTAGAAAAAACTAGAAATAAATTGAACCAATGAAGTTGAGAAGAACAAGAACTGAATTAAAAGCATGAAATAGCTGCCAAAGGATTGAACAAAAGTTCAGTTATCAGACTTGGGAAAATGTTGATCTACTGGAATACAGATAAAAAAATCAAAAAAATAAAGAAGAAAAATCCTTCCCTGTAAAAACATTCTGTATTTGCATGATAGCTGGTTCAGTTGATACAAGTCTTTTTAATGATTCTATAAAACTTTCAGGACTCGAGGTTACATCTTTACTTTGATATGGATGAAGGGATAGGAAAAGTGGAAAATAACTACTTGGTTTACATTATATAGTCCAATTATTTAGAGGACAATAGTTGTGTTGAATTTGAATACGTAAAAGTATTTTATTCCAATTCAAAGATAACTGGTAGTTCTCTGTTATTTGGTTTCCTAGGTATGTTGGCACTCATCTGCACTGCATCTGCATGGCCGAAGGGATTTGGCGGCACTGTCAAACTGTCTACTTCTCCTTCTAACATGTGAATCGCAGCTTTCATTGATGGACGGTCTGCTGGACACCACTGAATGCACCAGAGTCCGACAATGGTAAGTTTTCTTGCTATCTTGGCATGCCCTTCATTTTCTATTCTAATCCTCAGCTCTTCTCCTCTGTCCAAGCAATTATACACCCATTCCGGAAAATAAAGTTGGCTCGTACTCCCCACTGTAGCATCAGCATTCTTCCTCCCTCCTACCATTTCCAACAATAGCATTCCAAAACTATAAACATCTGATTTATGTGTAACTTTTCCGAAGTTTCTAGACAATACCTCAGGTGCAATATATCCCATGGTTCCTCTAGCTGCTGTCATGGAAACAGCACTTTGTTCCTTAGAACACAGTTTTGCTAGACCAAAATCAGATATCTTTGGATTGAAATTTTTGTCTAGCAAGATATTGTGAGGCTTGATATCAAAATGAAGGATTTGCTGGTCACAACCATGATGCAAGTACTCAATTCCTTTGGCTATCCCCAGAGCAATATCTTGAAGCTTCTCCCAACCAAGGTGGTGATCTTCTTCTTTAGCTACAAATATGAACTTCTCTAGGGACTCATTTAGCATGTACTCGTAAACAAGAGCCCGCTTATTTCCATCAGCACAAAATCCAATCAAGCGAGTAACATTGACATGGTGGATTCTGCACATTGATCCCACTTCGTTAATGAACTCCTCGCCAGTTGCGTTGAAATTGTTGAGGACCTTAACTGCGACCAAAACATCATTGGAAAGCCTTCCTTTGAAAACAGTTCCATAGGCCCCTTCTCCTAATTTGTCCTTGAATTGATCTGTTATTCTCTTGATGTCAGCGTAAGAGTATCTTGAGGGCTTGAGCACTCTATAATCCTCCAAAAACTTTTCAATCTTGAGCTGGGCCTCTTTTGCTGCTTTACGTGAGCGGTGAATACGATAAAGTCCAAAGAGAATCAATCCAAGAAGACAGGAGCCCAGAATTATGCTCATAACCAATAGAATTTTTCGCCTATCTGTAAAACATTCAAAATTTAGTTGCTTCATGTATGTTCCTCAAATCATTAACAATGTAATATGGTAAGCATGAAAACCAAGGCATCATAACCTTTTTGGCCACTGTTCAGGGAAAACTAAATCCTAAACTAAGGCTAAATCAAAGAAAAACAGCTAAACCCAGTGATCAATGAGGACATTGATAACATTTGGAAATGCTAAAAGCATACCTCTTTGTTTCTTGGTGGCACCAAAACACTCTGTTTCGTCCTGCGTGTTATCAATCTTCAATTTGCATTTCCTGCCTACTGCTTCACATTCACTGCAGTTTGGTTGGGACCAGCGCAAGTCAACATCACCTGTGTGGTAATAGAACATATCTCCATATACTTCTGTCTTGGAAATGTTCAGCAATGTTATGCTGCAATTCACCAAGTTAGGGGCACTTCTAGAATCAGAAGGAATAGCTAGAACTTGAAATTCCGGACTGCTTAAGCAAGGAACCTTGTAGTACCTTGTATAATGATAATTCCAATTTTCTTCCCTTGAACAATTGAAAACAGTGTATTTTTTTGGTTTCTCGTATGGTTGTATAAGCTGGAAGGGAGATGCAGTTAAATTAAGATTAGGAAGCTGCAGCGCAAGGCAACCTCCCGAATCGGATAACTGAATCCTCTGTGCTTTATAATCTATATGCTTCACCACCATGCTGACATTGTGCGGCAGCTCCAGTACCATCTGCTTTTCCTTTGTGCAGGATAATTCAAAGCCTGGATATCCGCAGTGGTCTGGCTGCAGCCCTTTTAGTTGGAAAGGGAACCGGATGGTTTGGTGTTTGCACCTTTTCGTCAGGCATTTTTCTTGTGCAGCTTTGAGTTCTGATACATTTGCAATAAGTAGAAAGCAGAAGAAAAAAGGCATCATCCTGAAGAAACTTTCCATTCTCAAAACCAAAACCCATATACAGAATATTGAAAATGAATCTGTAAAATAGGTTCTGCAAGCGCGGCGAGTTAAGTGGAAGAAGAAGATGATGTTTGACTTTTCAAAGTACGCAGAAATTTCTTGTCAATTGCCACCCTGCTTTAATTTATTTTCTTTAGTGAAAGAAATTCTATTTCGTTTGCCCCTTCAAGTTTGGGGAAATAACATATAAGATCCTATGTCACACAACTCCCTATTTTATTCCCTATTTACTTGTATACAGTTCTTGATTTTAAAAAAAATATCCCTCTTTTTTCTTTGCCACTTAACAACACTCAACAAGATTAAAGAGTGAGTCATGTGTTGAAGACAACTCAAATGTGACTCGAAAATCATGTCTTAAAGGGTTAAGATTTTAAGCTCACCTTTACTGTGTCCAAATTTAAATTTGAATCCCCATTTTTTTTTTTTTTTTGCCTTTAACTAACACAATTTTAATTACGGCTTAGAATTCAAGTAACTTACGAACTTACCTAACTTGAAAATAACACTAAGCTTTCATTTCATCAATCCTAATTAGTACAATAGTTTAACATTATTTGGGATTACTAGTTACAAATTGCCACAAAATTGGTATTTGATAGGGCTTTTTATTTAGTTTCTATTTAGTTTAGTTGATAAGAATAAATAATAAATATAGTTGTTAATCAATAGCTGAAGGCTATTATTTAATAATTAATATGTAATTTGAAATTAACTTATAAAGGTATTTTTGGTAATACTTTAATTAGTTTATGGTAAAAATAACTATATAAATTGTCATTATCAAACCAAACCAAACGGACACTTTAATTACTACAAAATAATTACTTAAATTGATATTGTCAAGTAAATCCATTACCAAAAAAATCTGTTAACAAAATCTAGGGCTAAAAAGGAGCTCCTTACTTTTCTCTTTGAATTATTCAAAAAGTTTGGGATCTAATTGCACCATTTTAAAGATTATGATTAATTGAAATTCTAGTATAAGTTGAGGGACTAAATAGAAATATCAAGTAAATAATTCAAAAATAATAACAAGTCAAAGTGGACTGCACCTTCCTCCAAGTAATGTCACCTCAAAATTCCTTCGAAAAATCTAAGCTAAGGGGGTTTCTTCGCACTTTCCTAAAATGGTTAACTTCCTGCAAGGTTCAAGCAAGGTGTACTAGCTTTTGGGTTCAAATTCCACTTTCTCAAATTTATATTTGTAAAATAAAATAAAATAAAGGATCGTGATTCATGCACCTCCGGTTCAACACCCGAGGTGTACACACCACTTAACCACATAATTTTAAAAGTAAAATTACAGATTTATCCCTTTTTTTTCTTTTTTTCTTTTTTTTTCGTCCGGGTTCTCTCGAGAACCCAGACCTGGGTACTTCTCGGAGAACCCAGGTCTGGGTTCTTTGGACAACCCATCGGAGAACCCAGACGGGTTCTCCGAGAAGAACCTTGGGTTCTCCGAGAACCCAGCCTTTCCTTTTTTCTTTTCTTTTTTTTTGTTCGTTCGGGTTCTTGAGAGAACCTAGGTCTGGGTTCTCCCGAGAACCCATTGGAGAACCCAGATGGGTTTTCCGGGAAGAACCCAGATGGGTTCCCCGAGAAGAACCCAGTCTCGGAGAACCCGATCTGGGTTCTCCTGGAGAACCCAGAACCCAGGCCCTTTTTTTTTTCTTTCTCTCTCGGGAGAACCCAGAGACCATCTCCTTGCATCTCATCATCATCACAACCTCCACCTCCATCACCATCCTCTATCACCACCAAAATAGAAGGAGAGGGGCAGAACCATAGATCCCTCTGTTTTCCATCACCATCGTCACCATCACCACCATCATCATCGTCATCGCCAAGCAGCCCCAAAAAAAAATATATATAAAAGGGTGAAGCAGATCTCGGGGAAGGAGAAGAATTCGGCAGAGGAAGATGGAGAGACAAGAAGAAAAAGGAATATTGAGAGGAAAATGACTTTAAGATTAAATATGTAATTTTGTTGTTAAAGTTATTTGGTTACTAAGGGTGTGCACCCTCGGGTGTTAAACCGGAGGGTGCACACAGCATTATCCTAAAATAAAATAAAGGCTAAAGAGGTTTCTTCTCTTCAACAAGTAGAATGCTTCTGCGTGTTTTTTTTTTTTTTTTTTTTGGTGGTGGAATGCTTCTGCATGTTCTTATCCCATCAGTTTTGACTGAACGCGTTCATGGCGTTTGCTTTTTGCCTTTGAGAATTACTCACTTTGAATTGGGTAACTAATTGCGATCTGTTGTAAACAGTTTGTGTCTTACTCAAGCTCTATGATGTTAAGAACAAAACTGGTTTTAGTTTTTAACTTCATGGTCCTTGCTTTGTCTCTCTGTCCTGATGCCTGTATGGCTAGAGCCAAATACAAACCGGTAAAAACTAATATTTAGCCTCTCATCTTACAAAATTAGTAAGTTTTAGTTCTTCACTTTATAATATGATAGTTTTAACTTTTTATCTTACAAAATTAATAAGTTTTAACCCTTCAGCTTACAAAATTTATAGATTTTAACCATTTACCTTATATTATGATATTTTTAACTTATCACCGATACGAATTAAAGAAAATAATCCTCACCTAATATTATGTTATAACGTTTTATTAGTTCTGTTAGTTGACTTTTAATATCTATTAGTATTTTGTTATAAAAAATATGAAATTTAAATTCAATTTTATTTGTTATTTTCATTAATAGAATGCTAATAGATACTAACAGTCAACTAATAAAATTAATAGTCAGCAAATAAAACTGACAATTAACTAACAAAACTAACAATCAACTAACAAAACTGACAGTCAGCAAATAAAACTAATAGAAGATTAAAATTTGATGTTAAATAAGGGTTATTTTCTTCAATTCATACAGATAAGGGGTTAAAAATGTCATAATATAAGGTGAGGGGTTAAAAAACCTATCAACTTTATAAGGTGAGGAGTTAAAACCTACTAAGTAAAGTAAAGAGTTAAAAGTATCATATTATAAGATTATAGGTTAAAATTTACCAATTTTGTAAGATGAGGACCTAATATTGGCTTTACCCCAATTTTATCCCCCAAAAAAAAAAATTGCATCAATGTTCTGCAGGCAAGGATTCCTGCAAGTCATGTCACATCAAAATTCCTTGGAAAAATCAAAGTCAGCTAAAGCCTGTGGGGTTTCTTCTCTTCAACAAGTCGAATGCTTCCGCACGTTCTCATCCCATTAGTTTTGACTCAACGCGTCTATGGCGTTTGCTTTATTGCCTCTGAGAATTACTCACTTTGAATCGGGTAACCAATTGCGATCTGTCGTAAACAGTTTCTGTGTCCTACTCTAGCTTTAGGATGTTAAGAAGAAAATTGATTTTAGTTTTCAGTCTCATGGCCCTTGCTTTGTCTCTCTGTCCTGATGCCTGTATGGCTAGAGCCAAGTACAAGCCTTGCCCCACTTTTTCTTCTTGCGGCAACCTTAGTATTATGTACCCTTTCCGATTGAATACCGATCCTGTTGGGTGTGGTTTACCAGAGTATGAACTAGTATGCGAGAATAATCGCACAACTTTGGTCATGGAACAGTGGAAATTCTTTGTTGAGAGTATCATAGAACAGAAATCTGCTCCTCTTTACTTCGTCGAGAACGGGACAAAGTATACACTCCGATTGGTCGATGCTACTCTTCGGAGGGATAAGTGCTCCATTCCTCGCAGTTCCCTTGTTTGTGGCTCATGTAGGGATTTTGGGCGTTACACTGAGTATTCTGATTCTGCGGATTACACCATGTATATTCTAAATTGCAATATACCAATTAACTCATCACTTTATGTTGATGCCTCAGCTTGCACCAATAGATCTTCCTCTCCATATACCTACTTTTTTCTCTTCCATGATTCCCAAACAAAGGTATCTGATTTCAATGAGTCGTGCAGAATTGAAGCCCTGTTTCCGTTTTCGCTGTCTAATATCACAGGCTTCTCTGCTTCTGATATCTATCACAAGCTGCTAGAGGACTATGAACTCACTTGGTCCGATTTCTCCTTCCGGGGAGACAAACTTACATTGAAGAAGATGTAAGTATACAGAAACTTGTCAACATCTTCACTTTATGCAGAATAGAAAGAAGAATACCCTGTTTTGATCCTCTTAACTTCTCAATATCCTTTCATTTTTTTTTTTTTTTT